TTGTGATGCGGGGGGGGGGGGGGGGGGGAGTGGTCATATTTGTGTAGCAAATTGTAGGGTCAAGGCCCATAGTGTCTGTTGCTTTGCTTTTATGACTTTGTTTGTCCTTTTCTTACTCTCTTTCTTTCTCCATCCTTTATTTATTATCCCCCACTCCTTCATTCATTCTCAATATCCCTCCTTTCTCAATAATCTTCCACATTGTTTTCTTAATTTCTTCTCCATCTCCAAGATCATAAGGAGGAAGTTCTCTCAGTTGAGGGGAATGTTGTCTGGCTCGAGGTCACCAACTAGATCCATAATCCCTATAAGATGCTTTTCAAAAAAAGATTAGTTGATTTTTATAATACGAAAAGGGGTTATGGATAATGTGTTAGTGTTGTCGGACCAGGCTTCATTCCCCCCAATTGTTGCTTCCTCTAAGGGAAAAGGGTTCATTTGATAAACTTTCTTGGTAAAAATATTTGCATCCATCACTATGTTACTTTAGTGACAAAAACTAGTAGGATGTGACTTTATACATGTACATATTTTGGAAAAGCTAAGTTTTTTTTTTGTTTTTAAATGTGAGATCTTGGTGTATATATGAGGTGAGTTTTTGTTTTTGTATTTTGTAGGTTGTGGGATATGGTCATTATTAGGTAATGTTGTTGGTGGACAAGAGCAGATTGGTGTAATGATGAAGATATTTGACTCATTTGCCACTTTCCTGCCAAGGTAAAGCAGAATGAGTTTATGCTTGTGTCAGTTTTCTCTCTGTTTTGAATTAGTGTTACATATCATTAGCTTCTTTTTTCTCATCATGTCTTCTTGAATCTCTTCTGTCTCTTTCTGCTACTATCTTTCATTATTACCATTTTGCTCATCATTTCTTATTTTAGGATTTTACTTCCTAGCTACTTTCCCACATGTGATATAATCTTTCCATTCCTTTACATCTATTCATAAACGTTGTGTTCAGTCAAACATTTTTATATATTATAAGACATAAAAGTGTGAAAATTTCGTTCTAACGGTCAAGTATTTTTAGAATCTAATTTTTCATATTATGTTATATCATGTTATGTGTTAGATCTACAACAATATTTTGCTAGAACAGTAAATAATATCTTGACAGATAATGTTTTATTATATAGAGATTTGACTATATTGGTTCATTATGTGATTTATTGTTTCCTTTTCCTCTAATTTATCTTTTTCTCATGTATATCTGTTTTTATTGACGACAGGCATATGGAAAATAATGTTGAAATGAGAGATAATATCCTAACTTGTATTGTGTACAAGATCTTGTGACATCATCATACACAGATATGCTAATAAATCTCTTCACATGAATAAGAGGTCATTCCACATTTTGTTTCACCTTTTGGGTTAAAACTATAGAAAGTGTGAAAGAATATAATTCATTCTAAGCTTTAATTTTGTAAAGCTTGCGTAAGATTTCTTTTTCCTTGAGAGAATAATCTTTTCAAAGATCTATTCTTTACCAGAGTTCTAATTTAAGTTGCATAAACTGTTTAAGTTAGAGTTTATTCAAAAGATATGACAAGTTACTATAACATGTAAAAAAAAAATTTACTCGACTTGAACTTTCATTCTAATGGTGAAGGTTATCAATTACCCTTAATATATTTTGATGTGAAAGTAAGACGGTATAAATTACATAATGGATCTGTGGATGTAACATTGCATATGCACTTTGGAAATTGAAGCTGAATTCTGTCATCCCTTGGCTCTATTACATTCTTGTAATCTGCTCCTTTTCTTTGATGGGATGTTTATGTACTAACACCCACTATAAAAAATAGCAATTACTCCATTTAGGAAAGGAAAACTAAACTTTGGATTTGTTGTTTTGGAAAATTTGAATTTTGAAATGTTCACTATGTGATGCAACTTTTTTGCAAAAATAGTTCAACTAATTAAATACCTATAAAAAATTCAGACACGCAACACGAAAATCAAATACAAAGAATTATTCTAGTATTGTGGAAATTAATTCAATTAAAAAGATAATCAATTATTATACTCCACTTTTATCACCTTTTTGTATAATGTTCTAGCTAGAAAAACTTTTAATTTATTATGAGCTGCAATGACTGATTCAAAAGGTTCAAACTAAAATCAAATGTGGTAGCAATACTTATTTATCAAAACAAATAGAATGAGTAGTGGCACTTGAAATTATAATGTTATACTAATATTTTCAAATTCTAGCGTTACTAATAAGAAGAACGATCATTTTGTTGCAAACTTGCAATTTCATTCAGAAGGTAATGTGTTATTCTAACATCACGTTTCTTGTATAATGCTCAAGTTTCTTGGGTGAATATTGAATAGCGATTATAGAGAAAAACTTTTAATTTATTATGAGCTCATTTGACAGGTTCAAAACTATGTGAGCTGAGTAGCAACGCGACATCATCTATAAACTAAGAAATCATACAAAATGAGTATGCACCTTTGTGAAAATGGCCATACACAAGAAATGAATAACAACAACATTATATATCTTGTATATTTTTATAAGTAGATTCTTGGGAAAGATAGAGTATATGAAGACTATATAAATATTATCTCATGAAGATAGAAAGAGAGATTGTTTTTGAAATAGTCTCGTCTACGCAAGAATTGAAGAACCATAATGCTAATTAATCAACGTCTCCATTTTGTTCTCTAAGCTTTTTTTTATTATTTTTTACCCTCCCTAGCTAGGAGCTCTTTTACTCCATTGGTGACTCGAACTCGCAACCTTTGGGTTTGAAGTGAGGGGTACTTACCATCCGAGTAACTCCCTCTCGTCTTTTGTTCTCTAAGCTTAATGTATGACTCGCCACGTTTCTTCACAAGAACACAAGATATGCTAGTATTATATATTTTACACAGATTTTACTAAGCTTTCTTATGAATTACGGTAATCCTTCTCTCAGGATTGAATTGTCATCATCAAAACAAGTATTTTAACGAAATTTTTTTGGAAAAAGACAATAGAAAAAGAATGAAAATTCATAAAGAAGTGAACATTGGGGAGTATTGTGCAAGGACCTAATGCCCATTGATGTTGATTCAACACTCCTACGCAACATCTGGAGAGTGGTCAATATAAAAGGGAGGCACAACAACGGATGAAATATATATATAATATAAATACATAAGTTGGGTCTGGTTCTAATATCATGATATATAAATTAACTTTAAACTCTATTCAACCTCAAAATTTAGATGATGAGAAGAGGATTATCCAAGACGATACTTGATTACTGGGGGGAAGTCATATACATTATACATACATCCTATCCCTCGATAGAAAGGCTGACAAACCTGGAATATAGTGAAACCTTCTCTCATTGTGTCATCAATTTTTGCTCACAATATACATTTATTACCTTTACTAGATGGTCAGGCCATTCTCTTTCATCACGCAATTCCTATTGAAGTAGAGTCAACATCCCATAGCATCTATCAATTTTCAACTAGTGATATGATTTTTTAATAGATTTTTCACTTTACCCCCCTGAGTTTTCTGACTCTCTACTTAATTACACAATGATATTTCTGCCTCTCATTGTTTTCAAAAATCACTGCCAATTTTACTGCTACCTACAAACTAATATGTCAGCTTGACTCCTGCATGCTTTGCTTTTTCCCCTCTCTAGAGTAGCCCCTTATTTTTCTCCTAGAATCCACACAAATATTCACTTACTACTGTACAATTTTATATTCTTTTTTAAACTAGTTTAAGTGTAGAAAATGCAACCTTAACATTATATTCAACCAATTAATAACGTCTTCGATCATAGGGATTAATTTCTAGCTGGATAGCTTTATAATAATTCGTCATTCATTTAAAAGGATAAAATGATATTTAAGTGTACATGAAGAAGAGAAGTTTATGGGATAAAACTCCAACAAAGAAAAAAATTTAACATATATATTCATTTGCTATTTGGCAGAACTCTGGCAATATTCTGGCAGAGAAGCGGTGGATTGGCCGGAGTACCAATATACATTGAAGTTTCTACTAAATTCAAATCATGCATTGTAGGACTCATTTATGGGTGGATCTCTTAATAATTCGCAGGGCTTGAAACCAAAACTTATTAGGGTGGACTATTGTTTTCCTGACACTATTTTTTGGTCAATTGCAATTAAAACATGGCTTTTATATATATACTAGATAATTTTAAGCCCGTGATACGGGCCCAATATAATGAAAGGCCCATTTACGGGCCCAATATTACAATATTATATGTATTTATAATAGAAATTTAATTTGTTTTCAAAAAGAAAAAATATTATGACATTTTCAAATAAACATGATACAAATAATAATAAAATACCAGATGCTCCAGTGCTCATTATAACATCGTGTCAAACATATATATTCAAATTAAATAATTAATTTTATGGTATTCTTTTTCTATTTTATTTGAAAATTATTCAAGAGAATAGATTAAAATTATTCTCAATATATTAACAATTTTCATAAGATATATGAAGCAATAAATTCTACTATTCACCTATAGATTAATTTTGAATACACTTATAAATTTGTTTTAAAGGTGTTTAACAAACCAAAATAACGACCTACTTGGTGATAATTAGAATGAATCATCTCATTATTTACAAAGTGATAAAGGATAAAAAGTTAATGACTTTATATCTTGTCTTTATATTCATTAAAATTAGGAGAACAATCTAGTATAGTAACAAATTTTTTTTTTTAAAGTAATTTATATACCCGATGAATGAATGTTATACCTCAAATAATGAGATGTTAAAAATATTAACAAAAGTTAATATA